GCAACAATGGTGGAATTGGTGATCCTCTTACCATCTTGGCTTCTGAGAGACACTGACACTCTGAGAAGCTCTTTTTATACCCAATCATGTTGTCAATTGACCTAATTAGTGTTAATTGGTCTTCCAGCTGTTTGTTATATGCTCAATTTACTTTTTCCAGCCACTTATTGCTGCTTGTCCCAACTTTTTTGGGATTTGTTGACACTGTGAAATTTTGAATCAACATATTTTTCCTTTAAAATGTTACATTTACTCAGATTAAACTTTTGATCTGTCATCTATGTTATATTACGAATAAAATAGACATTTGCCATCTCCACATCATTGCATTCAGTTTTTATTCACAATTTGTTTAGTGTCCCAACTTTTTTGGAATCAAGTTTGTACAAGTTAAAGGCTCATCGATCAAATCAGCAGCTAATTTTAGAAAGAAAGTTTCCAAACCATCAGAACCATCTGATTTTTTGGAGTTCAAGTTTTGTAGTGCACTATATACCTCATGGGCAAATATCTGTGCAAAACTGCCTGTGTATAGTAGCCAAACATTTACAACAGCTACTTTTAGCTAGCATTTTGATTTACATTGTAGCTGGTTTTGTTTTTTTAATACCATTTTCTTTCATGTATTTTCCCAGTTCATGCTTTCTTTTATGATCGTCTACTGTTGTCAGCATTCTAGTTTAAATCAGATCTCTCTTGGCAATGAGTCCTTGAGGCTCAATGGGACTACCCTGTATAAATAAAGGTTGAATGAATGAATATTTTTAGCCAGGCTTTTGTTTCTTTTGACTAGTTTTTTGTTTTATCTTGCTAACCTTCAGCTGCTTTGAGTTAGCATTTTGATGTTTGACATCTAGCTAGCATTTTGCTACCTTTAACTTATAGCTTGCACTTGCTTCTTATTTTAGTTGGTGTCTTGCAGGGGCGTCAGAAGCATCTGTAATGTGGGGGGGACACACTAGTGTGCGCATGTGCGTGCGCATGCACGTGCACCAGTGTACAAACAAGTGTACACTAGTGTACAAACAAAAGCAATATTTCATCTAGATTTCCTGACTTTAATTCCATTTAAAACATGTTTCTCTCCAAGTTTGTGTAAATTGGGTTTTAAAGACACTTTAACTTTAATACACTTTAACACAGAGCCTCATATCAGCACCATTTGTGTTTATAGACAAACATCACCTCCAGACTTTACTTGTGTTCAACACTCCTCATGTAAATGATGTTTGTCATGAAGCTCGAGGACAATAAGGTGTGGGGGTTTAAACACATTTCTACTTTAATGCACCTGAACACAGAGTCTCTTCCACCTGCAGCGTCTCAGTTACTGCTGAGATAAGATGCTACAGACGTAGCTCCACTTCTCTCAAGCATCCTCCTAACCACTGGCTCCCAGTTCAGTTCAGGACACAGTTCAAGCTGCTGCTGTTTGTTTTTAAAGCTTTGAATGGCCTTGCACCACCTTATATTTCAGAACTTTTGAAAGTCCACCAGCCCAGCAGAGCTTTACGGTCTGCTGGTCAAAATCTGCTGGAGGTGCCTTGCTCAAGGTGCAATCAATGGGGGGACCGGTCCTTTTCTGTTGCAGGCCCAACAGCCTGGAATACTCTTCCCCATGAGCTGCGTGCCATCTCTGATCTGGTTCTGTTCAAAGCCAAACTGAAAACATACTTATTTAAAAGGGCTTTTAATGTTTAACTATTAGTATTTTAGTATTTATTTATTTATTTTATCTCTTTTACCTTCTTTTATTCTCGCTGTGTTTTTAATTTGCACTGATGTATTGTGTCCTGTTTTTAATCTTGTTTTGTCTTGTGAAGCACCTTGGTCAGTGCAAGGCGTTGTTGGAAGGTGCTATAGAAATAAAGTTTATTATTATTATTATTAACCATGTACAGTGAGGAAAATAAGTATCTGAACATCCTGTGACTTTGCAGGTTCTCCCACTTAGAAATCATGGAGGGTCTGAAATGTTCATCTTAGGTGCATGTCCACTGTGAGAGACATAATCTATAAAAAATATATCTGGAAATCACAAAGTATGATTTTAAATAATTTATTTGTGTGTTACTGCTGCAAATAAGTATTTGAACACCTGTGAACATCACTGTTAATATTTGGACCAGTGGTCTTAGTTTGCAGTTACAGAGGTCAAAGGTTTCCTGTAGTTCTTCACCAGGTTCACTGCAGCAGAGATTCTGGTCCATTCCTCCACAGATCTTCTCTAGATCACCAGGTTTCTGGGCTGTCGCTGAGAAACACAGTTTGAGCTCCCTCCAAAGATTTTCCATAGGGTTCAGGTCTGGAGACTGGCTGGACCACTCCAGAACCCTGATATGCTTCTTACGGAGCCACTCTTGGTTCTCCTGGCTGTGAGCTTCAGGTCATTGTCATGTTGGAAGACCCAGCCATGACTCATCTTCAATGCTCTAACTGAGGCGAGTGGAATTAAGACCAAAAAAGTTCTATTCTGGTCTCATGTGACCACAGAACTTTCTCCCATGACTCCTCTGGATCATCCAAATATTCCTGGTCAAACTTCAGACGGGCCTGGACGTGGGCTGATTTAACCAGGGGAACCTTCTGTGCCATGCATGATTTTAAACTATGACGTCTTAGTTTATTACCCACAGTAACCATGGAAACAGTGGTGCCAGCTCTCTTCAGGTCATGGACCAGCTCCTCCGTGTAGTTCTGGGCTGATTCCTCACCTTTCTTAGGATCACTGATACTCCACCAGGTGAGATCTTGCATGGAGCCCCAGTCCGAGGGAGATCGACAGTCATGTTTAGCTTCTTCCATTTTCTAATAATTGCTCCAACAGTTGATCTTTTTTCACCAAGCTGCTTGGCAGTTGCCCCGTAGATCTTTCCAGCCTTGTGGAGGTCTACAATGTTGTCTCTGGTGTCTTTGGACAGCTCTTTGGTCTTAGCCATGTTAGTAGTTGGAGTCTTACTGATTGTGTGGGGTGGACCGGTGTCTTCATGCAGCTACCGACCTCAAACAGCTGCTTCTGATTTAGAACAATAAGTGGAGGAGGACTAACAGGTCTTTGAGGACCAGAACTGTTGCTGATTGGCAGGTGTTGAAATACTTATTTACAGCAATAACACACTAATAAATTATTAAAAAAATCATACATAGTGATTTCTGGATAATTTTTTTAGATGTCTCTCACAGTGGACATGCACCTAAGAGGAAAATTTCAGACCCACCATGAATTCTAAGTGGGAGAACTTGCAAAGTCGCAGGATGTTCAGATACTTATTGTCCTCACTGTGTATGTTTATGATTAAACCCCCGGTCAACAACTGCCGCACTAAGCTCGTTAAGCTGGTGAGCGAGCAACACAGAGGTGTCTCCACCTCCTCCACCTGTGAGCGATCTCTGCCAAGGCAGGAGACGCAGAACAGAAACACTGCAGGACGGTGGAAGCTGGCGAGTTGGAGGAGGTAACTAGGAAAAGCTGGAGGGGATAATTTCCATCTGGGATTATTTTTTTTATTGAGTATTCTCCTATTAATCAAGTGGAATGGATTAGTTCATGAAGAAAGAGAAACGTCACTGACTGAACTAATGTTTCATAGTAAAAGTGTGTGTGTGTGTGGGGGGGTCCAAATGAAAGTTTTTAAAACGTGGGAGACATACGTCCACCGCACTCGCTCTCACGGCGCTCGCTCTCACGGCGCTCGCTCTCACGGCGCTCGCTCTCACCACATTTGCAGTTTCCAGGTTACGGTTGTTTTTCAGCGTGCAACAAAACTGAACAGCTTAGATTCAACAAGCTGGGCCAGCACCAGCACATGAACTAGGCCAGCTCTGGACCAGATGAAGGTCTCGTTGGCCCAGTTCTGGCCCTGAGTCAAACAAAGCGGTTTGATCCATTCAGAAACTTTCCTAGATCTGGACTAAAAACTTCATCTGATCCCATTGTGATCAAATCTGTTACAGAACCAGTTCTAGTTATTATCACCACCCATGGACAATATTTATGTATCTGTTAGCAAAATATCTAATGTACAACTTGATGATTTTTAATGCAACTTGTAGAAAGGAATCATTGTTTGAACTTCTATATGTGATCAACTTCTGGAGTTGATTAAATTCAAAATGGTTGCCACAGCCAACTGCCCTTAAAGAATAATTCAGTCACTTGAACAGATATTGAGCTTGTTGGCGTAGTAGCCGAGACTATATCCCAAAACATACTCTGCGCACTAACAGATTATGTAAAATCTGCGTTTAACAATATGTCATTAACTATTTACAACAAGCTGGAGTTCAGTTAGGGAAAACCTGAACCAAAACACGGATATTTGGCTAACAGAAGGCGTTTCAGAGAGGAGCCGTTGTCTGAGCTGGATTTATGAGACAAAGTCTGCTTCCATCCTGAAACAACAGTTTGAAAGTTAAAACTGATGAATCAATTGACATTTATCAAAAGAAGTGTCATTTTGAGATGCCAACAAACATAAATGACAGACTAACTAAACTTTTATTTACATAAAGGTAAAAATGTGCAAAAGACATCAGCATACAGTGGGTCACTGTGCCCTGACTACACATACACGGCTTTCTCCGGTTTCTGATTTACTTTTAGGTATTTCACAGAGTGGGCTGAAGGAAAAAGAACATTAACATTTAAAAATCAAAGGAACCCGGCATTTCAAAATAAGAGTTCCAGAGGATTTTTACAAACATTGTTTTACTGTTAGCTGGAATGATAGAGGACCCGCAGTTCAGACTGATCGAACATACATCGTGAAGAGGCCCAGTGTCAGCAGGACTGCAGAAAGACATGGAGCTTCTACCCTGGTGCTCCATCTGCGATCTCAAGACTTCTGGAACTAAAAAAGATGCAGCCAAGTCCAGTCAGGACATTGTCACAGCACGAGACGGACTGGACCTTTCCGGACCAGATCCACCAACCCGGTGTGTTGCAGGACCCTCAGCTTGACATCACTCGCGTTCAGCTTCAGCTGCTTGATTCTCTGGATGGTAGGGGATTCCCTGCAAGGAACAGGCCAAAACAGAAAAACAATTATCTACTGGGAGTGTAAAATAATAAACCCAGCTCAACCTTGGAGCATCATTTGGATCTAAGTAAACATTTCTTGTTGAGTTGAACATTGTTTTGCAAAGTTACATCACGGAGCCATCGATTTTTGGTGAAATTAGATCAAACTGTGTGAGAGCAGCTTTTCCCGCCCTCCTGCAGCTACGTGCTGAGAGGAAGAGTCTATGTCATACATTATTTAGAACAGGACATAATGCTGAGTTCACAAGATGATATGAAATTTGTCAGCTGTGAAGCTGAAAATATTAAGTTTGAACCTCTTGTTAATGTGAGCTGAGAGGAAACGTGGCGATTAAACTTCAAGGCTCAGTGTGACTGTAGCTTCCAGCGAGCGCCCCTCCACTGTCCACGCTGCAGGATCCACCATGTCCGAGTCAGTGTCGAGTCATTTCACACGTTTTGCTAGTGACACTTTCTTCTGCACGTTTTCTACAATCAAATAACTTTGGTGTACGTTGCACAAATTTAACTATTCATATATCAAAATGTTCTGTTGATCGTAGTGTGCTTTGATTTTTGCATAAAATGCACATTATCTTGTTACTGTTAGGTAAATGTATCTTCCTGGATTATTGAGCATCAGAATATTTTCTTGTTACCTTTGTGTTAATCATAGCAAAGAGTTTCACACTAATGACCTCTTCATTGTTAGTATTTTTATCTAGACTGACCCCGGGGTTTTTGACCTACTCAGAGACGGGACTATAATTAAATTATGACCCGGTTCTAACTGGTTGAAACGGGGCGAGCAACTCTAAGCAGTGTCTCCCAGGGATTCAGTATCTTTCAAGGAGCAGAGTTTTTATTGGCTCGCTGCATCACGTAGAAAGGCTGTCATGTGTACACCCAAGTACTTGTAGCTGGAGACCACTTCCACCGCAGATCCTCTTATGTTCAGGGGGGTGTAGGTGTTTTTGTTCCTTCTGAAGTCCACAATCATCTCCTTTGTCTTCTTCACATTGATGTGAAGGTTATTCTCTCTGCACCAGCTCTCCAGGTGTTCCACCTCTTGCCTGTAGCTGGACTCATCATTGTTTGTGATGCATCCCACCACCGCTGTATCATCTGCAAACTTTACAATGTGACAGCCTGGATGGGTAGCTGCAAAACCATACGTGAGCAGAGTAAACAGGAGGGGACTCAACACACATCCCTGCGGAGAGCCAGTGCTGAGGGTTATGGTGGAGGAGGAGGAGAGGTTGTGGATCCTCACTAACTGTGGTCTGTTTGTTAAAAAGTCTAGTACCCAGTTGCAAATGGAGGGGCTTAGTCCTAGTGTGGATAGTTTGTCCATCAGGGTTTGGGGGATCATGGTGTTGAAGGCGGACGTGAAGTCCACAAAGAGCATACGGACGTAAGAGTCTTTCTGCTCCAGGTGGTTGAGTGCAGTGTGGACCACAGAGGAGATTGCATCCTCTGTTGATCGGTTCTCACGGTATGCATACTGATGAGGGTCCTCTTTGATGTTGATGGTTGTTTTGATGCGAGTCATGACCAGTTTTTCAAAGCATTTAGCGACTATCGGGGTGAGGGCCACTGGCCGATAGTCATTTAGACCAGTCACTGTAGAGCTTTTTGGGACTGGGATGATGGTGGCAGTTTTCAGGCAGGTGGGAACTGTCTCCAGGGTAAGTGAGGTGTTAAAGATGTCTGCCAGCACCTCACAGAGCTGATCAGCACATTCCTTCAACACTTTTCCAGGGATGTTGTCTGGGCCAGTTGCTTTGTGCGGATTAATCTTCCTGAAGGTACTCCTTACTTCTGCTGAGGTCACGCTGAGATGCTTTTCATCCGGTGGTGAGGTGAGTCTGGTGCTGGGTGGTCTGTTCGGGTCTTCAAAGCGTGCATAGAACTTGTTGAGGGCATCAGGCAGAGATGGGTCTTTGGGGCATTGTTCACTCCTTCCTTTATAATCTGTTACGCACTTAATGCCCCTCCACATTCTCCGAGGGTCTTGTGAGATGAATTGACCCTCGATCCTCTTTGCATATGTGGCCTTGGCCCTCTTAATACCAGCAACCAGTTATTTTCTTGTCTTACTCAGCTCCTCTGAGTTTCCAGACCTGAAGGCAGTGTTCCTGGCTTCCAGCAGGGTACGCACCTCTGCATTCAGCCAAGGTTTTCTGTTTGGGTAGCTTTGAACATTTCTGATAGTGGAGACTGTGTCAGTACATGTACTAATGTAACCCAGAACTGAAGATGTGTATTGGTCAAGATCAAGCGAACCTCCATTTTCAGCAGCTTCTCTGAAAACCTGCCAGTCTGTTCGATCAAAACAATCTCTCAGTATGGGGCCACTGTCCTGGATCCAGCATTTAACTTCCTTTTGTACCGGTCTGGAGCGTCTCAGCGGGGGCAAGTAAGCAGGAGCCAGGAAGATTGAGATGTGGTCTGACAGTCCTAGGTGGGGGCGGGGTTCGGCTTTGTATGCATCTTTTTCGTTCGTGTAAACACGATCCAGCGTGTGGTCTCCACGTGTCGTAATCGCCACATGCTGATTAAAGCTTGGGAGACAGTCCTTTAGATTCACGTGATTAAAGTCTCCGGCTACAATGTAAAGAGCCTCGGGGTGTTTGTTCTGCAGCGAGCTGATGATATCATGTAGCTCCTGCAGTGATTCATTAGCATTAGCGTCCGGAGGAATGTAAACAACTGTGATAAAAGTCACTGTGAACTCTCGTGGTAGATAATGTGGCCGACATTTCACTGTTATTTGCTCCAAAGCCTTCGAGCATGAGCTATTTACAACAGTACAGTTCGTGGACCAACTTTTACTCACATAAATGCACACTCCGCCTCCCCGTGATTTCCCCGTTAGCTCGCTGCAGCGGTCCGTTCGAAAAAAAAAAGTCTGTCATCCAGCTGGAAGACTGTGTCCGGCGTTTTGCTTGTAATCCATGTTTCCGTGAGGCAAAGCACCGCACACTTCTTCATCTCTTCTGAGGCGCCCGCTCTCAGACGAAGTAAATCCATCTTGTTGTCCAACGAGCGGACATTCGACAGAAAGAGAGACGGCATGGGGAGTTACCGGCTTTAGCGTTAGCTCGTAGCCTCACCATAACCCCCGCCGGAGGAGATGATATATGAGATGATCTTAGGAGATGATATATGAGAGAACAAGATAAATATGAGAGAGAATAAGAAAAAGGACTCCTACTATATGGAGTTATTATAGTTAAGACAGGGACAGATAACTTTTAGAATAGGTAGTAAGGGACATATGTTTAGAATAAGATAAGGGACAGAGAAGAACCTTAGTTAGGCATGAATAGGGAAATATAACTGGATTGTAAACGTCATGTATATTTGTTGTATGTATGATGTTGAAGTGTTGGTGTATGTCTGCTGTATGGATGGTTGTGTCTGTTTGTTAATGTATAACTGATATGGGGGACATGATCTTGGACTGAATTATGCTAAAAACTGATAACTTTAGCAGCCATGTAGGACGAGGTCAAACATTAACATAAAAATTCTGGCAGTCTGAAAAAGTCAAGGTCTGATGCAAAGAAGGCAGATGTTCCACATCAGGCAGAAGATTGGTAAGTGACCTCTTTATATTCACATAAATCCATCTAAATAACTTTTCAAGACCAACAGGGACAGTCCAAACAGGCCGTCCAGATAGAAGACAGAAAACACCACTCAAACTGATGTAAGTAGATCAAAACATCAACACCTTCTCTCTAATGATAATGATGGAGATGTGCAAGGTCAAAGATGTTTTTCACTTACTAAAGTACTGTGTGTGTGTTCATGTATTGTTTTTGTCTGGATCAGAGTGAATGGAGCCTTTGCCCAGATAAGCAGGGAGGCTCTCAGAGTCGTCTGACATTGTTTTTGTCTGAAAACATAATAAAAAACACTTTTTAGGCTGTCGGTGAACACACTTACAGACGAAGCGTCGTGTGTCAGTGAACACACTTACAGACGAAACGTTGTGTGTCGGTGAACACACTTA